TGCCCTGTATCTGATCGGTGTACGCCTATCTACTAATGTATAGTCCCGATCAACAACCGTCAAGACGTCAAGCCATGTATCTGATCGGTGTACGCCTATCTACTAATGCATAGTCCCGATCAACAACCGTCAAGACGTCGTGCCCTGTATCTGATCGGTGCACGCCTATCTACTAATATATATTCTTGCAAAGACATCAACCAGGACGGGTGCCTCCTGAAACGGATCGGTGTACGATTACCTTCTATTATATACTCCCGATCAAGAGCCGACAAGACAGCGAAACCGTAGCTCGACGGTTAGGGCGTTTGACTCTGACCAGAGGTCGCGGGTTCGAAACTCGAGTGTGGCAGCAATTTCAGCGGCAACAATGGAGTTGGGTATCGCTAGCCGACGACGGCCAGAAATAGCTATTCTAGCGTCCCTGTCTTTGTCGGTAATACCTGAATAGAAATACTTTATTTGTCCAGCAAAGGCTCCGACAAACTCGTTTCCCTGAGAGCGACATATCAGCGCGTTGGCAAGCGTGGCCACGAGACAGTCTTCAGAGTCCAACATGTTTCATAATTATTAAGAGCAAACTATCTCACCAACTGTTTGCAATACGTGAATACCAAGACGCGAAGAGACGCAAAACCGCTATTAACCTGAAGTCTCGTGGGCGCGCACTTTTATCGAGAAAGGCCAGGAAGGTGCCAATCTGCTTGAATGCGTCAAAAGTAAAAAGCTCCTGCTTAGAGTGATTGACTGCCATTTTTTTGGGGAAGAAGTTTTTGTGAAATTTGTGCTGCGGTCGCGGACATCATAATTTGCTTTGGAGAAACTGAGGACTACTAGGGATTCAGTTGGGAATCAGCCTCGCCTGTTCAGTGGGAGTGCAGCCCTTTCGCAAAAGAACCACGTCGCAGGCATCTTTTAGAATTAGATTGCAATCCTCCTAGGCTCTGGCGCCCTAAACAGCTTGAGTCACAATAATAGTAGAAGAGCCCGATCGATTGAGCACAATGGATGGTCTCAAGCATCTAGGACTCTATTAGATCCCGAGTTCAATGCTGAAGTGCACGTGAATTATTTTCTAGTAAGGGAGGCTTACCCACTCCTCTCATGCGCTCCGATGACAAGATAGATTCAAGCCAACTAGAGATAAACGTGGACGAAACATCCGATTCGACTGAATCTACACCTACGTCAGTCACAAGAATACTGAGTTCTACACGAACCGCTGAGACGGAGCATGTTATTGGATCGCCTGTTGTTTACCTTCTTATGAACTGAACTCGCACTGAGGAGTCTGTGATAACTGGAACAAGTTTACTGGCTGTGTGTCTTTTGGACGAACAAGTTCAGCGCGTTGAAACAGAAACGCGCAAGTCCCCTGTG